AAAATACCACCTACCAGCTCTGCAATAGCCGCAGAAGGTTGATATGCAACAAATTACAGATCTAAGAGTAAAGGGATCTAGATTTTAACTGTCTAGTCTGATGGTCTATATTTATCCAGAAATTTGACTGATCAGAAATAAGGTTGGGTAATAGGAAGAACAACATGACATGAGTTTGAGCAAATTAACAGACAGGGTTGATCAAAGATCAGGTAACGAAAATGAGTCAATGATGGTTATTGGAAATAGAGTTCCGTTGATACCAAAACTAACAGTAAAAACAACAAAAACACACAAAGTAACTTTTATCAAAGAGAAATATGGTTTCAACATAACATAAATTGAAAATAATGACACAAAAAATAAAACGATACAAACAACACCTCGATAGTGCATCCCAAAGGCGGTGGAGATTGGCTAGGTGGATCAGAAAGGCTAGCTGGGTGGTGGCAGCAAAAGGTGGAGTGAGAAACTTCAAGTACAGCTAGAGGGCTGGTTGTTTAGTACAGCGACGACAAGAAATTGGGGCAGAAATGGCAACAACAACAGAGGTTTGTTATCCTAGAGAGGCGGCAACAGCAAGGATGGAGCGTTGGGCGGCAGGTGTGGCTGCAAAACAATGGGTTGCGGTGTAGGCCAACAGACTTGGAGGGGATAGACAGCAAGTTGGTCGGCTGGAAAGTGGACCGGCGGGAGAATCAGAGTAGCAAGAGGCTAAGGGGTAGGGCAGAGAAGGTCTAGGGGAAAGTAGAAGGGGAGATAGAATCACCACCTCGGAGTAGGATATAACCGGGGCACCACCACCTCCTCGGATACAACCCACAAAGAGGAAAAGACCACACAGGATTTATGAAAACAAACACAGCAAAAAAACTCCCTCTAGACTCTGAAAAAAGCAAATAGATAGACTCTTACATGAAGAAGAAAGGAAAGAGATAAATAAAGAAACTCCCATACAAAAAGAAGGGGTGGGTAGGCAAACAATAATAGAAATTAACTATTAAAATTCTTCCATATAAAAAAGCAACAGAAAAGCCTCGCCTAGGTCAATTGGCCCGGAATTCCCCTGGACTCAACTTTAACAGACCGATCTGGTTCAATCGGCTGGCTAGGGTAGCAGGAAGTACCGTCCCGCATCTGAGTCTAGCGGGAAGCCTCACGTCAGTCTCCCGGAGTTGGGAGAGCATCGATCTCATTCGTTGAAGCTTCTGGTTGTTGTCTTCAATCATGGTGGCACCTGGATCCCACTGGCAGCTGCACTGGCGGCCAAAGCATTGAAGAAGTCGACACCACTTGCACGCCCATATTCCCATCGATCCGCTTTCCTGAGAATGTGTCCAATGCCTATACTACTAAATCCTGCCAAGGTAATCCAAGATTGGTTCAGTCTGATGTGTCGTGAGAGTATCTTGCATCTTTCCATCCAGTGGTGGAGCTACTGGTACGGTGTCGACTGTGAGGTCCTGAAATCCTCTCTGGCGCACCTATCCCGAGTTTGGAGCCGTGTCTCATCCTGTGTCATCACTAGAACTGGCCCCACTATGTTGCTTTGTTGGTAAGAGTTTCTGTGATCTCAATTTCTGTCAAAGTAGAATGATACGCTTCCCCTCCTTCACAAATAAGTATGTATTTCTGAATCCATCGTGTTGAGTCCTTCTGTTGAACTACCACGGTCGTCGCAATAGAAGGTGGTAGGCAACCATAGAGAATATGTCACACGACGCCTAACCTGCAATTGGCCTCCAATTGAAATTTTTACCCAACATCTTCGGTCAATGTTGATCTAATTTTCCTTCTTCAACCATGTTAGTGAGTATGGCTTGGCGTGCCTTTGAGTCGTGAGTCCTAATTTGTCTAACATCCGAGTCAATGCCGCATTCTTGCTACTCTCGCCTTCGATGATAAGACTACATACATTTTCGTTCACTGTGCAGGTTGTGGTGAAGCCATTACGGATCCCTCGTGTCAATATCAATCTGTAGAACCCGTTGAATCACGAGTGCTTCTCTCTTATCTGATGGAAGTTGATAAAGTTCCTCAACTTTCTCCATGTCGTTAACCTCTGCTATGGCACTCTGATCTGTGAGGATGACTACCCTGCTAATGGGATAGCTGAAGGCTATGTGACCATAGTCATGGCATCGATAACATTTCTCGACCGCTATGGTGTTGGAGGAGCTACCTTTTCTCTTGCTTTTTCCTCTCTGATTTGAAGTGTCACTCCCTAGCACGAGCCTGCCTGTGTCTCTTGGAGTACCTTTGTCGGTCGCAGTAGTTGTAGGTGACTATCTGCCTATACATTGCTGCCTAAAGGATGACTAGTGTCTACTCTACTTTTATTGCCTCCTCACCTTCAGGGCTAGTGCCAAAACATCTTCAAGTGACGAATAAAGCTATAATTCCACCACATCGCTAATAGCTGGCTTTAAGCCCCCAGATAACGGGCTATGGTGTGCTGCTCGGGCTCGACAATAACACACCTCATTTGCAACCGATCAAGCTGCTCTGTGAACTCAACTAAAAGATCCCTCTGTTGTAGGCGATGGAGTCTCAGAAACATATCCTGGTGATAATGGGGTGAGAAGTATTTCCTCCTGTAATTCCACCACATCTTTGATTACTGGCTTCAAGCCCCTAAATAACGGGCTATGGTGTGATGCTCAGGCTTGAAAAGAACATACCTCTTCTGCAACTGATTAAATTGCTCTGTGAACTCTACTGAAAGATCTCTCTGTTATAGGCGGTGGAGTCTCGAAAACATATCCTAGCAGTAATGGGGTGGAAGGCACTTCATCTGCCTTGCTTTGTTCATCTTCTCCCACCTGGTAATCCTATCATTGCCCTCGCTTTTCCTCTGTCTCTATAAGTTCTCCCACCACAAAGAGGAAGTTTTCTTCAGATTGATAGCAGCTAAGGATCTCTTATCCTCTGGCACATCCTTATACTCGAAGATTCGTTCTACAGATTACAACCAATCAATTAAGTTATCGAGATCCACACCTCCATCGAACTCTGACAGATCTAACTTGATGTCAAAGTCTCTATGTCCTCCAAATGATATCTCTTCTATGTGAGTCTCCCCTGAGGGGGATTCAGATATCCCTCTTTATGCGTCCTCTGGTACTGGATTCTGAAACAATGTGGTCTATCATTTTCATCGCTTAAATTATCCCTATGTAAGGGATTCAGATCCTCCTGTATTTATCTTCATATACTCTCCAGATCTCAGTTGAAGGTAACTTCTTTTTGTATAAATTCTTCAATCTCTACAAGTGTTTATTTGAGGTGACGAAGCATCCACATTATCTCTTCTCAGGTAGGCTCAGACATGTATCTCCTTGGATCATGGTTAGAGATTAAGAAATATGCAAAAAAAATATTGGTGGGGTTAGGGTTTGGGTTGTGGAAAGGATATTTGGTGGTAGGAAAGAGTCTTGGTCAGTGGCGGATGCTATGAAACCCTAGGATGGGACTAGGGTTGGGCTAGCTCTGATATCAAATCATACCGGAACTACTAGGAAAAACTGCAGAAACACACAAAACAACTTTTATTGATAGGGAAATAGGGTTACAACACAAAACAAATTGAAAATAACATCACCAACAATAAAACAGCACAAACAACACCTCAAAAGTGCACCAAGGGCGGTGGACGTTGGCTAGGTGGATCGAGAAAGCTAGTGGGGTTGGCGGCAAGAAAATTGGAGTGATAAACTGCAAGAATAGCTAGAGGGCTGGTTGTCCAGTACAACGATGGAAAAAAACGGGGGAAAAAATGGCAGGAAAAACAGAGGTTTGTTGTCGCGGGGAGATGGCATCAAGGATGGAGTGTTGGGCGTCAGGTTTAACTGCAGAACAGCGGGTTTGCGAGGCTGGACAACAAGTTGGTCGACTGGAAAGCAAACTGGCAGGGTTGGGGAAGGATCAGAGTGGTAAGTGACTAAAGGGCAAGGCAGGGAAGGTCTAAAAGAAGGCAAAAGGGAAGATAAAATCACCACATCGAAGTAGGATACAACCATAGCACCACCAGCTCCTCGAATACAACTCACAAATGGGGAAAGACTCCACATAGAATTTTCAAAGCAAACACACAAACAAAACTCCCTCTAAACTCTAAAAACAACAAATAAAAAGATTCTTCCATGAAGAAGGAAAAAGATAAAAAAGGAAACTCCCACACAAAAGGAAGGAGTGGGGAGGCAAAAAAAATATAAAAATATTAGCCATTAAAATGCTTCCATATGAAAAAGAAACGTCACAGAAAGGGAAGAGGGGCGTGGGAGACTGTGCGAGACTGCTCGCCCCATAAGGAGCCTCGCCCGGGCCGCTTGGCCCAGGATTCCCCTAGAACGGTCTTTAACAGACCGGGCTGGTTCAGCCGGCTGGCAAGGGTAATGGGAAGTCCCGTCCCACGTCTGCGTCTAGCAGGAAGCACCGTGTCATCAGTGGTATAGAATTCTAATAAGTAACTAACTTAGAAGTAAAAAAAAAAATAGTAAATTTATGAATAGCATTCGGAATCAAACAATTTACACTGCTGCAAGATAAAATAGTTTCCACTTCAGTTGACCATCCATCAAACCACAACCATAATATCTACATTACAGTTCCAGATTTCTTGGGAGAAATGTCGCTTTTTCTACAAACTAACAAGAACTGTCATGCTTTAAACCATTCATGGCTTTACAAAGAAGAGAAAAATGTCAATAGAATGCTTTACATGCAAGAAACATAGTTACTAAATCGGGAAAGACTACAACAGAGCATAGATTTCAGGTCTAAAATTCTGACATAAATAGTTGCTGCGCCAAAATCACTAGAAGTTTGAAGAGATTTAGCGTGCAATAGAATTATTAAATAAAATTATAAAATAGACAGCATAGCAATGTACTTGAAGCTGGCCTGTAGACAAAAAAAATACTTTAAGAATTCATGCTTACAAAACCTACAAACAGACAATGAAAATTTTTGTTATCTCCACATAACACTGGTAGAGTCCTACATGATACACAACCTTATCTAGCATATGTGATGAACAGATCTCGAGCTAAAGGTCTTGCATTTATTGTTCCAAAAAAATCTAAAGATGGCTTCTGTTTCCACAGAAAATAAATGACATCAATGTTTTAACATAACAAATATATAAAAAAAACTTTATACATCCATATGACATGGCTAGCTGAAATATGAAAAACTCCAATATGTTGAGCCAGACCTTTCATTCAACATACCTTCTGCCAGATATGGAACAACACAAGATATACAAGGTCAGTATCACCACTTTCAGTAGATTTTACCAGAGCTGTATCCTCTTCCCCAATGCTTAGCAACAAAGGAACCTAGTTCAAACAAAGCACCCCATAACTTCATTAAAGTTAGATAGTTTTGCACAAAAAACTGTAACTTGAATCACTCTAGGGACCAGACCACAAAAATATATAAGCCCAACATATGTATCATAACACAATTGTAATCAATTAAAACTCCACATCAACTAGTAGGTCATGAAGCTTCCAAAGACAGCAGTCAACATTGCTCAAACTAAATTAAGCAGAAAAAGTACTTCAAATACGTCGCAACAGCTAAAATACGAAGGCATTACAATTTTCTTCACCTTAAACAATAGTACTCAAGAAAATGGTAAAATGCTCGGTACTAGCAACCTAAACACATTAATGTAGATTAAGAACTTTCAATTGATAATATATGTCGTAGGTTATCATAACGAAATTTATATTAAAAAACATGTGAACGAAGCAGTGGAAGCGTCCATGGAGCAGGAGAGAAACTGAAGCCTTTCAGCCTTTTCTTTTTTCTTACTTTTTTTTTTCTTTTTTCTTTTATTTATTTATTTATTTATTTTTTGCATGATGTAATCCTATATGCAAGTTAGAAATCGAGTTTGCTACAAAAGATAAATTTTTAAATTAGTTAATAATGCGTTGCAAATTACTGGGAAAAAGAGCTCAAAGGCATGATAAGAAAAGCTCGGGAGGTTTGCAACTTCAGGTGTCCATTAAAAGGTCATCAGAATAGAGAAAGCGTGAAAATGTACCATAGAACCTAGAACAACTCAGCAGGATTTAGGTTTAGTGTGCTTCTACCGAACAAGATTTGGTATTTTGCAAGAGGAAAACAGCAAGGCAGCACAAATTGCACTTCTTCACAAAAAAGGGTCATGTAATCTTACTTTTTATAAATTTATGTATATCACAAAAGAAATAAATCCTACTATTGAAGGCATAATAAAATACCAGATATTGATTAAATGGACATTAACAAGTAAATCCTAAGCGATTTTATTTCAGAATTTGGTAAATATCATTATCTAACTATAATAAAAAATGCAAAACTACTTTAGTCCAAATTTATTTTGGCCTTTAAAAGAGAAGCATAATACTATGTTAAGTTTTGCCGAGATGAGAATGATTAAGTGGATAGAGGGGCTTTACACTAAGAGACAAAATGCGAAATGAATATATCCGTTATAGGGTTGGTATAGCACCAGTGACAGACAAAATTAGAGAGTCATCATTAGAGAGTTGTCTTACATGATTTGGTCACATTAAACGTCGACCATCTGATGATCCGCTTAAAAGAGTAGAGGTTTTAGATTTGACTTATGTTAAGAAAAGAGGTAGACCTAGGAAGAAATGGGCTTGTTGTATAAAAAATGATCTTAAATTTATTAGAATTAAATGAAAATATGACACCTAAATGAAAATATGACACTAACACAATGGAGAAAAAGGATTCATGTAGCCAATCCCACGTAGTGGGATTAAGGCTTTGTTGTTGTTGTTGTTGAAAATGATACACAAATGTTATTTCTCATAATTTGAGACTAGAGTATAACAAGAAAAATTCATATACTATAATTATGAAGTCTAAAATGTGCAAATATTTCCATACTTTTGAATGAAAAAGAAAAAAAAAAATGTATTATGTCATGACCCGCCATGGGGCTTAGAATTTCCAAGGCGTGAACAGACAATTGGATGGTGAAAATTATTTTTTTTTACCTTCATTTTCTACCATTAATTGTATACAATCTAAATGAATTGAAAGAGACACTAAAGAAAGTAATTCAACTTAACAGATGATAATAAGTTTAATTTTTTGCTTGCTATTACTCATATTTTATTCAAAACTCTAAACCTGAAAAATGTTAAAACAACATAATGAGTTGTTCAAGATAACACAATGCAACAATTACATATCTAAACTGAAATAAATCCAAGAAAAAAAAATAATATATATATGTTGATTTTCTTAAAATGTTATTAAAAAACCTCATATAATGATCTAAATCATGTACTTATGACATTTGATCAAAAAATATGTACAAATTTTCATATGTATTAATTTTTGCTTTACTTAACAGGTTGTAATATATTTATGTTTTAATGCAGCTCTTTTAGCTAGTACATCAGTGACATGGGAGTCTCTGGGGGGCTGAACCACTTCAAGAGTGAAGTAGGGCCGGACTGTCCATGTACATGGGCTAGGATTGCCACCCAAGGGGAGGGGCCTCCCTCCCACCACCACCACCACCACCACCACCACCACCCCTCTCCCCACCCCCCCACACAACACCTACTCATCTCCTATATATATATTTCAAGAAATTGTTATCATAGAAGTTTTTTAATTATCAGGTTGCTCTTATGAAAGCAAGCAAAGATTTTGATTTTTTTGGTTAATCATAAATCTTACATACAGCATATTTAATATATCCAACTCGGTGTCTACAGACAAGGTATTAAAAGATGATGGTTCAAAGAGAGTAAATTATATGAACGGAAATAAATTCAAATATTTATTATTTTCAGTCGAAAAATTAATATCGATATGAGCTAAAATGAGCATTCAACTATTTCTTAAAATTAGATACAATAGAACGACAAGACAATCCTAAGATTATTTGTTGCAATAGTCTTCTTAAAAGTGGCAAAAATGATTTTCGAAGAGAATCACACCTCTTAAATTTAATTATGGTTTGTGGGGATCTAAAATGATGCAAGGGATTTAAGGGGTACAATGAGACAGCCATTGATGAGAACAAGAATGCAAGAAAATCAATTCAGTCAGCTCGTTTCAAAATTAGACTGTGATGGCCATACCCAACTATAATTATTTAATTGGTTTAAGCTTATAAATGACTTTTACTTATTAGTAGGCTTATTATTACAGAACTTCTCCATCCTGCAATTGCAGCTGCTCGATTTGCAACTGATCATATTCTATGAGCAAACTTTTTTTATAAAAAATAAATATTTAACCTTTCCCAACAATTTGCATAAAAACAATTTGCATAGAAAGAATGCAGTATGATTGGGGAAATATTTTTTCATAGATACTAACAAAATTTTCCACATTCAGATAAAAAACAGTATTAAGCTTCTGAATTCAGCTACAATTATGTAACTGTATATATGCATTAAATTAAAAAATCTATTAGAGAACATAGAGTTTAAGAAAAAAATGATACTCTATATTCTTGTCCCAATAAGAAAAAAAAGAGTATAACAAAAAGATTGTCGGAAAAAAATTTGCAATCAAATATTTTTTCATAGATTCTAACAAAATTTTCCACATTCAGATAAAAAACAGTATTAAGCTTCTGAATTCAGCTACAATTATGTAACTGTATATATGCATTAAATTAAAAAATCTATTAGAGAACATTATAAGCTAAAATTTCTATTTATATGAAAATTTCGTTAACCAAGATGATGGCAGCTGCTCGATTAGCCTTTTCAAGTTAAAACAGAGAAATGGTAAGAAAGCTGATTTGCATGCACTATTTCCATACAAGTAGACATCAGAAATATTCAGCAATGCAAGGAAGGTCAAACGATGCCCAATTTCTCTATTTAATACTAAATGATATTATGTTCATTTTGAGCAAATTAGTCTTTTCTTACATTCATATTCAATAATACCAGACTCCAATCCATATACAAACTTTCAGATGGAAATGAAAAATGACGTACATATTTTTATTCAAATAATAAAAACATATGGATATGCGAATATGTCAAATAGTAGCATATCCATTTCTGTCAACTTCTAGA